CTAGGGGGGAGGCTGGGTGGGTCTGACCACCCAGATCTAGATGGCAAAAAAACTATGTACAGCAAGAAGGTCATGCAGCATAGCTACGTCCCTAAGACCTCACAAAATGTCCCTGAAGAGGAGGCATCAATAATCATCCTAGTTATTGGCTCTTTTTATTTATTTATTTGTTTATTTACTCATTCATTCATTCACTCATTCATTCCTTTAGTCTGTGGCTCTGTAATTTTCCAGATTATTAAGAGCTTCAAGAAGGACATATAAGTCACTCACCTTAAGGTGTTTTTATTCTGTGAATTTTAACTAGAATTCACTCCTGATGTTCTATATCCTGATTAATAACAATTCATTAAAGCATCCTGCCTCAGATTGACTATCATAACATCCTTCATGTGTCTTTCCAAGGTTTTTACATAAGTCATTCAGGTTTTCTAATTCATACCACTGTGCCTTGCAAAAAGCACCACATGAATAAACTAAGACTGTAAACTGTGCTGTATGGGTGTATGGCTGCTGTCCACAGGCTTTTGAATAGATTCTAAGTTTGCAATGCTCTAGCACCCTGGATGTTTCTAAGATGATTGAGCAAACATCTTATCCTAATTTTTAAAGTATCAAGCTAACTTTCATTGTGGTGAAAAGCAGATAAACACCAGCTTTTTTGTTAAAAACAATCGTGAATTTGGAAATCTGTGGGGACAAGTGCATGGAGTACTGAATACCTAGCATATCTTAAGGGTGTCTGAGGGGCAAAGCACTCCCCTGTGTTAGGCATGTGAGTGGCATATCATTCACCCCATAGGCACAGCCCTAGGCATGAGGCCACATGTTGCAGTACCTGCACTTGTTCCAAGGCCACTTCCTTGATTGGTCGCTGCAAGGACAGTTGGCCAGAAATTGTATTGGTGGCTGCTTATAGTCTGCTTAGCTACTGTCTGAGTTTATATACATGGTAATTGTGCAATAAAATCAGACCTTCCTCCTGCTTGGTCTCTGAAGGTCTTGATTAGTGACTGTACAGCCATACTCTCCTCTAACCTGTACCATGGACCTCCTCACAGGATGAGAGACAGCCCACAGATATCCATCTCTGGGAACTGTGATTGACATGGTGATGACAATAGTATGACAGTTTTAGTTTTACATCTGAATCTATAACATTCTCAGTTTACCTTGGCAAAATCACTTAATTACAGTAACTTCAACTTAGGAGTATTTTCTGATCCTCGATAACTAATTTGGTCTATATGTTTCTCACCCTTGGCCAGGAACCCTTCATTTAGATTTAGAAATTGTGATTGATCTTGTGATTAAGTTTCTTAATCAAGTATTTGTGCCTGTGGCAAAATCAAAGTTAATTTTAGTGTGTCTCTATAGCCCCTTCAAGTATAAATATGAAAGTAGCGAGTTATGTGTTTGTTGCCAATTTGGAGTCATCACAAATCAAATATGAATTATACCCTATCAAAATGTTTAATTATCGAATAGCATGAACAGGTTTTCTGTTTTTAAAAATGATTTACCATTTTTAAAAGGGACAATATAAAAAAAGTTTCTCTTATGCCACTTAACCTTAAGAATATGGACAAATGATATATTATACAGTAATATGAACATTGGATAAGCCACAAAATACAGAATTATTCTTACACTGTCAGCTCTACTATCCATGAACATCTGCAATATATCAGAGCAGTTACTCACCATGAGTGAGAATCAGCAGGCAAATGACATCAGGATCAGACATTCAAAACTTTTAGAGAATGAAATGGTTGCAAACCTTCCATGGTAAATATACATAAAGGGGAAGATTATTAATGAAATAAAAGTCATAAGAAAAGAAACTAAGAAATGTTGAATTAAAAGGCCAATTTAGATTTTGATAGTTAACAATGGTAAACTTCACAAAAATGAAGGAAAATTGGAGGAAGTACCAAAGAGAAGTTTACACACAAAGAACATGTTTAACTAGAAAATACATGAAAATATCCATGATTTAGTTGACAGCCATAAAGATATGGAAGGGAAGAAAGTAAATGTTCAGCAAATTATAAGACAAAATAAGACTTGCTGTATATCAAATAGAATTTTCTTTTAAAAAATGTGTTTGGGAATAATAATCAAAAACAGACTTTGAGATGTCTGAAAATCATAATTTGAGCAAGATCAATAAAAATGTCTTCAGCGTCTGAGTCGCAGCGAGGGGCGGGGCAGCGAGCATGCTAATGGCTGGGGAGCTTAGCGCGAAGGGCCACAGGCAGCGCCACCGCGGTGATCGCTGCCGCTGCTGCCTTCCCAAGCGTCCGGTGTGGCCTGCGGATTCGCCTCACCATGATAATCCACGGCTTCCAGAGCAGCCACCAGGACTTCTCCTTCCGCCCTGGAAGCTGACGGCCTCCAAGACCCGCATCATGAAGTCAGCGGATGTGGAGAGGTTAGCAGATGAATTGCACATGCCTTCTCTCCCTGAAATGATGTTTGGAGACAATGTCATAAGAATCCAGCATGGCTCTGGCTTTGGGATCGAGTTCAATGCTACAGATGCATTAAGATGTGTAAACAACTACGAAGGGGAATGCTTAAAGTGGCCTGTGGCGAAGAGTGGCAGGAAAGCAGGACGGAGGGCGAACACTCCAAAGAGGTTATTAAGCCCTATGATTGAACCTATAAGACAGATTATAAAAAAACGTTACTTGGAGAATCTCTTAAATTAAAGGTTGTACCTACAACAGATCATATAGATACAGAGAAATTGAAAGCCAGAGAACAGATTAAATTTTTTGAAGAAGTTCTCCTGTTTGAGGATGAACTTCATGATCATGGTGTTTCAAGCCTGAGTGTGAAAATTAGAGTAATGCCTTCTAGCTTTTTTCTGCTGTTGCGGTTTTTCCTGAGAATTGATGGGGTGTTTATCAGAATGAACTACACGAGACTTTACCATGAGGCAGACAAGACCTACATGTTAGGAGAATACACATCAGGAGAGAGCAAAATTGCTAATTTAATGCATGTCCCACCTTCCCTGTTCACGGAACCTAATGAAATATCACAGTATTTACCAATAAAGGAGGCAGTTTGTGAGAAGCTGATATTTCCAGAAAGAATGGATCCTAACCCTGCAGACTCACAAGAATGTACACCTGTGGAATAGAATGTACTACAGCATATACTCACCATGGAATCTGACTGAACACTTTGGCTATTTGTAAGGGGGTATTTTTATTATGAGAATTAATTGCCTTGTTTATGTGAAGATCTTCTGTAGCCTTAAAGGAAAAAAAGTTAAAAATAAAAATTGTTGCAGGCAGGTCCACTCAACCGATGTTTGTACTGTCTCTCCAAATTCACACTTCAGATTTACACGTTCTGGAGTTAAGTTTGGATTTATGAATTATCACAGAGTGGGACTTCAGAGTGGGGGCATAATCTGCAGCCATCATGAAACACTGACTTCTGCCATGAAGAGGTTACTTTGGTCATTGAATCCTGGATTGTGCATGTTCAGGTACTGGCTTTGGCTTTGGGCTTTCCAGTGTTTATTTGCACTTATGGAGGGTTGTGACTTGCCACAGTTTAATGATCCTAACCCACAAAAATTTTCAAATGTTTCTACCCCCTATTATATATACCAGTTTCTTTTGAATTACCTTTGAGTTTAAAGAAAGTTTTAGACATGGAACTGAAATCCATCCCCCTAGTGTTTTGGAGAACTGAAGCTGTTATGTATGTCGAAACTTGAACCTAGGGTGTCAGAGCTATCTCTAAGTGCTTTTCAGCTTGGGACCTAGCTAGTTCAGAAGCTATATAAAAATAAATTTAAAATTCATTTGTTTATTTTGATGATGACCCTTTAAACATTTTATATTATTTTCTGCCTTTCTAGATTGTTTTCATAAAGTGGAAAATTATGTAAGCATCAACTAAGGGATTACTTGAAATGGATTTTTACAAATGATTTTTTAAAGGACAGGGAAAAATCACCCCCTTTGTTCTTGAAATAACTGTTGTGCATATTTCCACTTGATGGAAAACCCATTAAATAAGAATCTTTAATTGAAAGCATTAGCAAAGCTCAACTCTTCAAGTATTGGCCTAAAGATAAATTTTAGTGAAAAAATACACTTGGTTATTAATCTTTGCTCAAATTTTGTACATTATTTTGAGCCAAACAGTCAGGGTAAATTGGTCACATGTAGTTTTGGTATGTGTCTGCCTTCTGCATTACCTCCATGGTATAGAAAATCAGAATTTTGTGTTCTGTGTATACTAAATATACCTGTATTTAATGCTTTCTTTTAGGATGGGAAAGTATGTACATATATACGTACATTGCACTCAGCTTTGTTTTATACACTGTGCAGATCTAAACACAAAAGACTCATAAGAAATGAAAACTTTTAAGAATATTCATTAGTTATAGTTTCTGGGCAACATCATTTCACTCATTGTGTGAGTGTGTACACATGTGTATTTTTTTTAACTTTTTGATATAGATGTCTTGTCCCTGAGAAGATTTAGATTACTTATTTTGAGAATCCATTGTTAAAAATTATGGAGAATTAAAAGAATTGACTTTTTTTCCTTAAAGAAGGTGGGAGGGGTGGGTGAGTGTGCTTCTGAAAATTTCATTAGTTTATTACTGTGGGGGATAACAAGAAAATGTGTATTTGGCCATTGATAAATGATATATACCATTTTATATTTATTTGTTCCAAGTGTCTTTTTGTAAGAGGAGAAAAACAATAAGGAATTACTGAAAAAAAATAAGTCTTCACTTAGGCATATTATAGATTTAAGAATACTAGGGGGTTGGAGTTGTGGCTCAGTGTTAGAATGCTTGCCTAGCATGTGTGAGGCACTGAGTTTGATTGTCAGCACTGCATATAAATAAAATGAATAAAATAAAGGTCCATCAACATCTAAACAATATTTTTAAAACGACATTTTAAAAAGAATACTAGGAACAAGAAAATTTACAAGAATTAGAAGAATAACATGTTTATAAAAACAAATAATAAATGTATTATTTATTATTCAATACCACTAGTAGAAACCAGAATACAGTTATATTGTATCCTTAAACTGCACCAAAGTAATCAAAATAGAATTTGATTCCCAGCTACGCTATCATCAAGGGCGTCTGAAATACAAACATGCTTACATGAATACATAGGGCATACATGGAAAGCATTGTTTTCATAAGTAATGAGTAACTGCTAGGATATGTTAAAACAAGGTAAAATCCTATTCTTATTGATATGTGTGTGTTAAAAAAAACTCAAAAAGAGAGATCTATAATACCATAATAACATTCACACAGGAAAAGTCTAGAGTATTAAAACATTTTAAGGTTGTTCAGTTACTGGGAAAAAAGAGGTGCTGGATAACTTTAGACTTAATATTTCATTTGCATAATTCAGTTGTGTGAAACCACAATAGGGAATAAAATATATCAATAGAAGGGAAGAAATGAAGTAACATTAAGGAAGGGCAGAAACATTGATCAATATAGTAGCATGCAGGGAAGAACTAATTTAAAAAGCAAAAGTATAATAAAGTCTTACCTAGGATTGTACACAGCCTCTTCAGTTACTGCCATTTGCATCATGCAGCCTGGACTTTGAACTCTCCTTCTGCCAAATATTAGCTGGGTGAATTCTCTGAATCTCAGTTTCTTCTTCTATCTTCTATAAAATGAGAATAATACTATTTATCTTAAAGGGCTGTTGTCAGAACTCATAATGAAAGTAGGGCTTTACCATAATCCCTTACTTTGCATCCATGGCTTATAGTTTAAACACCACCTTTTTAAAAAAATTCTTAATGAAACAGCATTTAACATTACCACTCAAATTTTGTGTCAAAAATATCTTTGTAAACTACTAGCATATTAGGATTTTATTTTCTATGTCTTCCTTTATTTTGCCAGATCATTTCTGCCAAGATTGGCAATGCCTAGCTCATCTTGCAGATTGGCAATGCAAAACAGGCTGCCTGGGACTTCAGAATGAAGTGAGTGGAATAGACGGATGATAACTGACCTTTCCCACCATGTCCTCTTATTCCCTGTTTTCCTGCCTCCATTGATAGCAAATATTTGGAATCTTCTGAAGTTCACATTCTCCACATATTTGGTGCTTAGGCAAATGAAAATAGAATGTTCATTCCAAAAAGTATTTAGAATCAAACACAATTCACATTACACATTGTTAAAATAAATTGGTTTCTCTTAAGGCTATGGATCACCATAGTTTTAATGACTTATAATTCAACATAACTCTACTATGTCCGAAGCTGGAATTTTCAAAGCATTAAATGAACTAATAATGTATTTGACAAGGGGTTAAACAATTGTTTTCCTGATGCACATGCAAAAACATTATCCATCCACTTGTTTTTATATTTTCATCTCCTTCTTCATATCCCATACTTCCCGACATAAGGAATACAAACTTTTTGTATTACAAAATTTTCACATAGGAAATTGCAAGGATGATGATCCTGAACCTATAAAATCTTGGCACAATATAATGAAGAAGTACCAATGTTTGAATAAATCTTGAAGAAAATTGAGCAAAATAATAACTATTGTTTAATTTTCAGTTGCTCTTGGGACACCATTAGAAACTGCACAAAAAGATAGGGGCTGCTATTTTTTATAGCCACAACACCTAGCCAAAGGGGAATCCCTTCCTGGGATGCACAATGCTAGTGGAGTTCATTGCTGGTAGAAAAGCACCACCTCATGAGTTTTCCCTTTCCTTTCTTCCAACTGAAAAATTAATCATGATGTGGAAAAAAGAAAGGCAGGAGAGAAGGAAAGGAGTTAGAAAAGCAAGAACCACATTACACACTCCAGTGCTGCTATTTTAAAACAGTTGCATAGATTTGTGCATCAGATAGCCCTGAAGATGACAGTGACCTTGTCTAAATTAGTGTGTTGCATCCCTAAACTACTTTTCAGGTAGGAGAATGACCTGGTTCTATGCCAGACTGTGTAAGCTGACATCAATGGCCTGCAAAAGGTGCCAGATGAGCTGACTCTAGCCAGAGCTGACCTGGAGATGCAGACTGAGGACTGACTGAAGAGTTGACCTATCTGAAGCAGAATCACAAGGAGGCCAAAATTTGATTTTTTTCTCCTTTACAATATATGCACATAGGGTAATAAAGTCCAAATCATTCTACTCTCCTTCCTACCCCCATACCCTCTCCCCTTTCACTCCCCTTTGTCTAATCCAAAATATCTCTATTATTCCCTACCCCACTTCCTTATTGTGAATTAGCCTCCACATATCAGAGAAAACATTAGTCATTTTGTTCTTTGGGATTGGCTTATTTTGCTTAGCATAATATTCTCTAGCTTCATCCATTTACTGATAAATGCATAATTTCATTCTTCAAGGATGAGTAATATTCCATTATGAATATGTACCACATTATCTTTATTAATTCACCTCTTGAACAGCATCTAGTTTGGTTCCAGAGTTTGTAATTGCTTTGCAAATGTAACCTCATGACATCTTCACCTTATCATCGTGAAGACGGTGCATTTACTAGGCCGATTTGTTGGATGGGAAAACTGAATCTCAGGGAATTTAACCTAATTCTTCAGAGTTTCTTAGTAAAATCTGTAAACCTGAAATACAAATCTACTTCCATCAGCACCCGCAATGCATCCTAATTCTTCACAGTTCATGGCTGACCTTGTCTTACCCATATCTTACCCATAATCCATACTGAGCAGGTCCCAGAAGGAAATCGGGATGACTCTTCCTAGAGCTGGACAGAGGTTGGCCTCCTCCATCTTTAGTGTAATTTTTTCTCTGATTACCTGGCTCCTTTTGAGGATCTTCAAGCTGTCCACTCCCATGTCAGTTATTCAGTGACATCACCTGTCATTCATGTTTTTACATAACTCTGAGGAAGAGAAAATCCACATGGATTTCAGAAATGGCTCAAGATGTAAATGACTGGTCATGATTGACTTGGATACCCTAAAAGGGGATGGTATTGACAGCACAGGGGTATAAATCTCATGATGGGCCAGAAAACTCATTTACAGAGCAGCCAAAGGTCTATGTAGATCCATAAAATGGCCACAAGCCACCTGCAAATCTGGGTACTTCCTCATCTGGAACAGTCCATAGCCTCTTTCTGCTAGAGCAATATCAGTGGCTTCTTTTGGAATTAAAGTAGGTGTGAAAAATAGCTCCTGTGCCACTTGGTTATGAAAAATGGTAACGATGATGAAGGTGATAATGCAATAGCAAATTCTCATAGACCACTTTGAGTACATTATTTCATTGAATATTCACAAAATCCTTTCAGTGACTGTTCTAGTCAGTTCCAGCTGCTACAAAAAAATACTCTAAGCTTAAAAAACATTTATTTCTCCCCATTTGGGAGGGTGAGAAGTTCATAGTCAAGGTACTGATTGGTTGAGTTCTTGGAAAGAGCCCTCTTTTTGCTCATAGCTGGCTGCCTTCTCACTGTGTCCTCACTTGGCAGAGAGCCAGTGAGCTCTGGTCCCTTTTTCATCTTTTGAGAACAATAATCTCATCTTGGGAGCCATGCCCCCCTGGCCTATCTAACTCTAATTACCTCCCAATGGCCTGGATTCTCAGCCATCACACTGGCATTAGGGCTTCAACATATAAATTTGGAGGAGACACAAACATTCAGTAGGGAATGCCACTTTGGGGTGCTGGGCATAGTCAGTATCTTCTCTGTGCTTCTGCTGCCTCAAACAGAAAAAGGACGGTAATAACACCTGATCAATGTGCATGTGTGTGTGTTTATGTGTGTATGATTACATTGAATTAAAAACAGGTGATTAGATGATACATGCAAGTGACCCTAGATCTAAAAAAAAAACCTGAATATAAAAAACACAAGTATTAAAATAAAATCTGAAACCAGGTTTAAAAAAACATTTCAGTGTGGGAATAAAAAATATTTCCCAGCAAGAGAATAAAAATGGGGGTTTGTCTTAATGATATCAACTTTTAAGGAGATGTAATACATATTTATGAAATTTAACTTGCTTTATGTTTATATTATACATGTATTACTTTATTCTGCTTCCATATTTAGAAATCAATTTTTGACTAAAACTCATCATAGCCCTCTCCAACATTGGTGTTTTTTCCCCCTCTCCAAAACAAATTTGGAGTCTTAAAAACAGTTTCAAGGACTCGGTTCTGTTCCCTCTAAGAAGAAGGAAAGATGGGTCCTTGTGAATCAGGATGATCTTGACAAACCACACTGAGGCCTTCATGTGGCTTAATGTATTTGAAAGTTCATCCTACAGGTGTATGCTTGTGACCACCACCATATATATTCATTTTAAATGACTGCACAGCACTTGTACACAACACTATCCATAGACTCAAACACAAGTCCACATTCCAAGGAATCCTGATGATCTGTACCTTCTATCTGATCTACCCCAAGCATGAATTGCTGATTTCATAAGAAATCAAACAAGCAATAAAGACTGTGTTTACCTTGGTTATTAGAAAATGAAGACCTCAGGCTCCACGACCACTCAGGTGTGGCCCACGTTCTGTCATCCCCTCCATCCAGGCAGTCAGTATCCTGACTCCAGAGGCAGGCATGATCTAGGTGTCCATTTTTCCTCCCTACGCAGGAGAAAATTGTGACTGAAAGAGCACAGTGAGAATTTCCCAGCCTGAATGCATGTGGGGAGGCTTATGGTGGGGGACATAAACCCATCTTCCAGCCATTTTCTCAAAAGCACTATGATTTCAAGACACTCGGGAAGTGGAGGAGCTTCTGGTCTTGGCCACTCTAGAGGAAGGTTCAAGATAAGTTCCAGTTCAGCTGTGTGACATGAGGAAGGACCTAGACACTGAGCCCCAGGACCATGTTCTTGGCAACCTGACCCCAACTTTGTCACCCACTGGAAGTCTGTGGCTGCACTGGACATCTGGTGATCCCATTGCTTCCAGGGCCCTGATTCCCACTGCAGCCTACTGGGCAGCACCACCTACTGGGTTCAGGAGGATGCAACTCCAGGAGTTATCCCACCAGGAGAGATGAGCACTGCCACAACCCCACCCAGCAGCCTGCACTGTGATTACTGCAGGTCCAGTGGACCCAGGAAAGCCCATGGGCAGTGGAAGGGGCCCGAGGAGCACTCACTTTGGACAACAGTCTCAGGTGAGGCTCCCTCCCACCTCACTCCTCCAGGTCCCCACTCACTGATATTTTGCCCAGTTCAGAAACCAGCCCAGACTTCAACAGTGAGGAGGAGGGACAGCTCTTGATAGCTGAGCATGGAGGAGCATGCAGGGCTGCTTGGTGGGTTATGGGAAGCTTGAGCTTGAAACCTCACAGCTAACTCTGGCAGGGTGCCCTTCCATCCAGGGAAAGCCAAGACCCATGTCACCTGGAACCTCCCAAGAGTGAATGCTGAGAGGATCTCTGGGTCTGTAGGTGTCTGTGTTGGATTGGACTGGTGAAAGGTAACATATCTTACACTGTAGGACCAGTAGGAGGCCTAGTATTGTTCCCAGAACAGCTAAGCAATGAAGACACAGTCAAAAACTGGAGAACTGGGGTTGAGGCTCAGTTGCACAGTGCTTGCCTAGCACGTGGGAGGCACTGGGTTCAATTCTCAGCACTGCGCAGAAATGAATAAAGGCCTGTTGACAACTAAAAAAATAAATTTAGAGAATCTTGATAACCAAAATTCAAAAAAGCAACCCAAATATGAATAAAACAAAATTTTGTGAGCACACAGCTGGGTTTTTCTGACTTCCACGCACAGAGAAAGGACTGTGGACACAGGGTACCATTCCCTCCCAACCTGCCCTGCTGAGCCCCTCAGTCAGACTCTGCGTGGCTCCTTAGATGTGTTCTCAGCAGCTGTTCTCTCCACTGTTCCCAGAGGAAGTGCAGGAAGACACACAGGCCATGAACCCAAAGCTGCCACCACCTGAAATGCTGCTCAGCCAAGAAACTTGCCCCCCAGCAATTCCTCTTCTGACTGGCCAGTCCCAGGCAGGACAGCAGACAGAACTCTGACAGCTCAGGGGCTGGGCGGGGCAGGGCTGAGGGATTCCTGCCATTGCAAGAGTTCCTGGCTGTCAAACCCAACCCCACCCACCCTCACCAGAGCGAGGGTAGATACAAAGGCTAGCTCACATCTTCAAGGGAGGACAGAGTGTCCTTACCCGGCCCCAGCAAGCAAGATTCTGGAGATGCCACCACCACTTGCTCACCTGCTGGTGCACTGCCTATCTAATGCCCTTGCTTTCCCCTTCAGAGGCCCAGGGAGGCTACGACCCTGCTTCCAGCTTGGAGGTATGCGGGGGGCTCTTCTATTGGGGCCATGCCACTGCCTGCCTTTTCAGAGAAGAACTCCCCTGAAGAGGCACGGACATGTCCTTATACCAGAGGCGCAGGTGCTGCCAGCCAAACACCTGCGCGTCACCATAGTCCCCACGTGCTCCACGCCCCAAGAGCTAACCTCAACCTGCAACAAGAGGCAGTTCAGCCCTCCGGCTGCCCCCACCTCCATTGGACTCCAGCCCACCTGTGCTGCCATCCTGGCCACCTCTGGGGAGGGGCAGGGTCGCTGCACCAGTCTGAGGGGAAGGATCCCTGGCCTTGTCATAGCTGCCACCCCTCAACCTTTGGGCCTTCCACCATCTACAACCCCTCCCAGATGATCGGGAAACCTCATTGGGTCAGGAGGTCCACCAGTGGGACCTGGATCACAGCCCCAGTGCCAGCACTCAACAGTCCCCCCAGGACCCACGCATGCACCAGGCACGCAGTTCCCACACCTATTTCTCCCGCATCTAGCACGTGGACTTTGCATGCGCACGCTGAATTTGCACGCGGTGCGTCTGTTCCTGGCGCAAGCCTGCCTCTTGCCCAGTGTGGACAGTTTTCCTCACGTGCTGACGTGTTCTCCACTCATTCCTTCCTCAGCTGTGTCCTGGCAACAGGTCTGACAGCCATTTCGCCTGAAGCTGCGTGGGCAGCAAAAGAAGGACCTTCTGTGATGGACGCTAGAATTACTGACTAGGGCCTTCGCTAAGACTGCCATGGGGACTTCCCACAGCAAGTGTTGTCCCTCACCCCTGCCCCTGGCGCTGGGGGAAAGAGACTTGCCAGAAGGGTCCCACAAGAAGCCAGGTCGTTGCCCCTGCCGACTTCCCTATACTGGTTGGCCACTCCGGGCTGCCTGGGCCAGTGCCACCACTCGCAGGTCGTCTTGCCGCCACCCTGCAACTGCTTCTCAGAGGTTGCGAAAAGTGCCTGCTCGGTGCTTTTCCAGGGTCCTGTGGACCCTTCAATTTTTTTCTCAGAGACTTGGACATTGCCACCTCCCTCCGCATGCCTGGTCTCCTGAAGAAGATGCTGCTGTCGGCTGCAGCTTTCATAGGTTCCGGCAGCCCAGGCCGCAAACCCGGCCAGCAGACGCCATGTAGAGCGCAGGGGCAGGAAGTGGCTCCTTACCAGCTTCCATTACCCCAAGAAACCTGCCCAGGGAGGACTGTGATCACAGCCCCTGGAGACAGAGGCCAAGGGTGGCTGAGCAAGCCGAGCACCCTGTAGATAGAGAACATCAGAGAGGACGTCCCCAGGCCACTGGAAGAGCACAATCTAATTTTAGGCCCCTGGGGGCCCATAGCTGTGTGCCTGCCTTTGTGCCTAGTCTTGGGGCTCTGTAGGCAAACCTCTGCACCCAGAGCTCCCAAGACAGAGCTGAGAGCTCCAAGGCCACCTGCATGAGCTCCTGCCCCAAAAGAAACCCCATCAGCAGCTCCTACAGGTCTATGTGAGGTCTCCGAGCCCTGAATAGGAGCGCTCCAGACCCATCCAAAGGGGAGCTGCCCCTGGGATGCTCTTCATCCCCAGGGATTCCCCCAAAGAAGGCCCAGGGTAAGAAAGTGGCAGAAGGCAGGGCGGGACAGCCATTGTCCAGGAAGAAGTCCTCACCCACAAGAGACACCTGTAGGCCACAGAAACG